AATCTTTCAACATCGTTGGCCAGAAATATCCAGCTCTACGGATAATCCATTTCATCTTATAAGCCGATTGATGAGCTCCACATATCCCTTCATGCACCTCACCCATCAACACCTTAGCTTCTTCCTGGTTTAAGCATTTGAGCAACACCCCATCGACTGTTTTATAGTATAACTGATCATCTAACAAAACATACTTAGTCGATTTATACCTTAGCTTTCTGGTAACTTTCTGAGACGGATCTCTAAGGTAATCGGCTATTTCGACTCTCCAATCATCACTTAAGGTTTCACTACTCAAGACTTCTTGAAACACTCGATATCCTGATGCACTTTGAGCTAGACGGTTAGCTTCTTGGTTTTGTGCTCTCGAAATATTTTGGAAAGAAATATGAAGAAACCCTAAACCCAAGCTTCCACACACATTTCATACATTGGTTACATGTAAACCCTAACCTAAGTAAGGCAATTTAGTAATAACACATGTAATATAAGCCAACAAAGGGATAGTAATTGAGATGCTCATGCTCATGCATGCTTATGCTCATGCAATGTTAAGGTTAAATGCATGCTTAACACCTAGGGTGTTACACTGATGATTCACCCCGAGGATCGCAGAACTATTCCTACAACCAGCGTTTTATAGATAAGCCCTCGGAACAATCTGTCTTCACAACGACCAGACCCTTGGGCACCCGCGCGCACACTGGCGCTGGCATAGGGCGGTCACGCCGGCCAACCAGGACCCGCTCCGACCAAGCTAGCGAGTCGAATAGCAACTATGACCCTAGAGCCTACCCTAGCCGAACCTACAGGGGTGACGGAGCTCACGGCAATGGTGGCCACAACGTGCGGCCACGCGCGATGGCGGCACGACCACGCCGACCACCCTAAGTCACCGCAGTGAGATATAGCTAACCCTAAAGCACCACTAGCGTACCCTGGTAGCTGTTGTGTTGAAGGTTTGGCTAGGGACGGACCAGGTGTGCCCGACCACATGCGCACAGCAAGCTCTGCGACGGCGGCGGTGGCGCGACCGTGTCAGCGGTGCCTGGAAGGCATTGGCAGCGAAAGTATGTGCTCATACCCAAGTATGTGCTCATACCCAAGTAGGCATTGGCTAGAACCCACGACAAGAGAGCAACAAGCCTTCCCTACGCCCATACCCAAGTATATGCTCGGGATAATAAGTCTGTGACTTGCCTAGAACGCAATGCAACGGTCGGTCCTTAATCGACACAGACAGGGAAAAAGTGTAACCAAGCTATGCCCCGTTGGCCATAGGACACAATCTCTTACACCCACCAATACCCATACCATATCCTTACCCAGTCTCCATTTTCCTTTCACCATTTTTATCATGAGTGATAATAATAATAATCACCTATTGTGAGTAACGGCAGGTTACTCACGCTATCGAAATCCTGAGCGTAGCAACTACTCGACCTATGCTAGTAGGACTTATAGGTAGGTATATCTATGCATGTAGTTTCTATAAAATACCTATAACATAAATGCACATCATATATATATATATCCAGATATCATTTAAAATAAGGGTTATGCACCGGGGCTTGCCTTGGGCAGGCGGGGTGTGAACAAAGTCAGCAACTGATGGCTCCGGGGCTTCCTCTTGAACGAGAATCTTCTCCTCGTACTCTTTAATGATCTTCTTGTACTCCTGTTCGTCCGTAGGCACAAACTCTATCAACTCGTTATCTATATGCATGAAATGATGATGCAACACTTAGTAATACGACAACAACTCTTAAAATAAAATACATCTATCAAGCTACTAAGCTAGCTCTACCAACTAAGACGCTAAGTTACCTATCATTACCACTAATAGGTATGAAACATTGCATGCATTAACTTAGCAACTAAAGGCATCCATATTCTTAATATCGATATATGATAAAAACAAGGAGTACTAGCTACTCTATTTATCATCATATTCTAAGGCTACAAAAATTTTAGTGAGCACATAGTAACCTAATGAACCTGCTGTAAAAATTTCATGGCTAAAGCTATCACCGTTTTACCATAAAAATTCCTATAAATATTAAGCTAAATAATACTAAGCTTTACTAAATGAATTAATGACCCTATCATTATCATAGATAACTGTAAACTAACTACACCAACAGATAGATAACATTTTTGTGAACCTAACAAATTTTGTTCACTACTTTTGGACAACTACAGAATTTACTATAATTTTTCAAAGATCAGCTCAAAACTAATTTGAATAAACCTTTACTAATTCCCTGGAAAAAGAAAAAACCAAAATCCAACCGCGTGGCCCATCGCGGCTCGGCCCACGCCCGCGCAGCGCGTGCACGCACGACCCACCAGCGTGGCCCACTCGGGCATGGCCCAACCGCGCTGCAACGACCCGCGACAGGGAGGCTCGTGCGCGCCGGCCTTTTTGCGAAAACGCCCTCAATCTACCGATGATTCACCCCAAGGTTCACAGAACTATTCCTACAACCAGCAAGCTAGGGACGGGCCGGGTGTGCCCGGCCACGTGCGCACAGCAAGCTCCGCGACGGCGGCGGTGGCGCGACCGTGTCAGCGGCGCCGGGAAGGCATTGGCGATGAAAGTGGGGTGCGCACGAGATGGAGGTTATCAAGGTGGAACTCGTGGTAGAGGTGAATTGGCGAGAGGTGGTGCGACAGGTAGTTGTCCTCGGTCGTGGCTGGTTGCGGCCTTAATGGCACGGCAGAGGGGGAAACGGCCAATTGAAGCTCTGTCGGACTCAATTGAAGGCCAGAGGTGACTGCGTGGTAGTAGGGCTCCAACACCAGCGCCTGGCGCGAGCAATTGCTCTGATAGTGACCATGCGTGGCGAATTTGACTCGGGCGTAGCTCAGTCCCGCCTGCCGTCCTAGGTGGCCGCAACAGTGCGCACGAGAAATGCAGGGACGAGACATCACGACGCGTCGCGGAACCAAACAAACGAGGACAAGGCGAGGGAACGATAGCTCCACGTGTGGCATAGTGCAAGGCCAGCAGCGGCTGTGGCACGGTGAGCAGCGGGCGCTATGTCGCCTCGGCGGGACGCGAACGCCAGGCAGAGCAGCGGCACGTGGGGGTGCCGCGCGCAGTGCGCCCGAAGTGACGACGCTACGCAGAGAAACATGCGCGTGCTGTGGCGCAATTTATGACAGCGCGAGGCAGCACGGTGACATGACGACGGCGGGCTGTGGCGCGGCGGTGACAGCGCGAGGCAGGCGTCCAGGCGGCAGCGGACCGGCTAGAGCGACTGGCCCACGACGGCAACGGCAAGGACACCGCGGGGCAGAGTAGCCAGACCAGCGCGGTGGTGCGAGTGCGTGCGTGCGCGCGTGCGTCGGACGGCCGACGCTGCGACGCCGAGTGCCGAGGCACGGTGACCGCATCCACGTGATAAAACCGGCCGGAAACGTTATGCGCATGATTTTTAAAGCGTTCGAAAAACCCTAAAACATTGATCTAATCGCCAAAGCACCTATGCAATTCTTAAGAGGACATATTAAGCTACTAAAACAAGCCCTAATACCACCCCACTCTTTTATCCGATTCTTCTACAAAAATCACCAAATCTAGCTTTGTCAAACCACTTTTCAGACTTACGAAATCGACTAAGTCACGATCGGATTCGCGTCAAATTCGATTCCCAAGCTATTAGGTATGCTAGCTAGTGAATTCATTTTTTGACCTCAATTATTTCATCGTCATCTACAAAGTTTGTACTATAAACTTTATTAAAGTTCCGTATATGCGTTCTATAGCATTTTCGCTTAATAAAAATTAATTTAAAATCCTAAGTGATATAACTTGACTATGAAATGTAACCTTCGTTTCGCGTTTCCGTCGATCGTTTCGAGCTACGAAAATCGATCTACACACTATATCACATAACCATGACGCTCATGACATGTTTTAGTAAAAGATTTTTAGTGTAACACCGAGGGTGTTACAGTCCATTATCATTTCTGACTTAGAGAATTCAATGTTCGATTGGTACTTATCTCCCTTAACACTTTTGATTGAATTTTTAAAAGGTCTAAAACTTGCCGGATTCAACTAACAAATGTACCATGACCTAGCTCATACTACATACTAACTCTTAGAACCAAAATATCTAAGCACTCCCTAATTAGTTTGTCCAAAGAATGATACTTTAAAACACAAGTTCAAGTGTTTGCCGGCAACGAAATGACCGTTCTTAAATCCCAAGTTCGATTTTTGAACTTTCCAAATTACTAACTAATAGTATTTATTCTTCAAAAATTAATGTTACATTTCCATGTACTACACTTACGCTCTAAACTTTATTCAAATACTACATACAAATTATATTTAATTTTTGCTTATAAAAATTGCTTCCGTGCCAATGTTTAGAACTACTTATTCTACTCTTCGCGTTAGGATTTTCATTAACACATATAGGCATTTACGTATCTAACTCACTATATTTATAGATCTATCTTTGAGGCTATAATCTCAGTGCTTAGCGAGCTCATAACACCGAAGGTGTTGCAACAATGTCCTCAAGGAGCGGTTCCCCCTGCTTGGTCAAGCAGAATCTCCGGCGGGGGGCAGGTGTCACGACACACGGAGTGAAGAACCAGGAGAAAGGCGCATTACAAGCTGGAAGACGTATTCGCGAGTAGTATGTATTAGACTCTGTATGACGTGTGGGTCCATGGGGCCCTTCATTTATGTACGCACTGTGGCTTGTAAGAATATTATAAAAAAAAACTAGTAAGTACCAGCGAGAGACAGAGGTGTTCCTCTGCTCCGTCGGCCTCTCCGGCGATCGTCGGTGGCCACGGGTGTTACACCGTCCCGGCGCAGCGGCCAGGGCGCCAGCGCCCACCGGATCTGGTGGTTCCGGCCGCGGCAGCCCTGGGCGCACTTGCGACGGTGCCGCCGCCCAAACCGCCTCGTCCTCCCCGTCGACCCGGCCCAGGTCGAGCCGTGCCTCCGCATCATCCGCGAGCAGCAATGGATAGGCATGTGCCACCTCTGCCGGGACGATGGTCAGAGGCACGGCGACGAGGACGACGCCGGTGGAGAGAAGGCCATGAAGGGGGTGGCGACGGGGACCTCGCTGGGGTGTGCACCTGTGCTTTACGAAACCCTAGCCGCCGTTTTCACCTGTCGCGCAATCACCCTCGTCGACCTTGCTTGCATCCTCTTCCTGTTCAACTCACTCTAGGCTGTTCTTTTTCAGTTTACTGAGGGCCAAGGGGTTCTTCTCAATGTCATCACCCAGAAACCAGATCGAGGTGATTTTTTATTTCTTGTAAATACATTTGACCGATACTTTCGCTTCCATGTATTGTTAATCTGGAAGCCACCTTGTGTGCAGGTCTGGGACATTGATGCGAGAAAACTATGTTATCCACACCTGATTCAAAAGGCGATCACAGCATTCTCTGTGTTGCAGAAGAGCTTGTACATGTGAGTTATAGACTTATAGTTTTTCCAACTACTGAGTCGATGATTTCCAAAGGGTTTAGTGCCTGCCAGATATGTTGGGGATAGTTCTGAAAGTGTGTCTCTAATGAAGCTTAGTCTGGTCCAGAGATGCCTACCTGACATGGTGTATTCTGCATTGCTTTTACTGATTCTTATGGTATGATGTTGCAAACTACAAATATCTGTGTATCATGCTCATAATCAACTTTGTCGACCAGTCTCATTTTTTTGTATTTTCCAGTATGTGCTTATATTCAAAAGGTAGCATTATTCAGCTATCGGTTTAATTTTTAGAATAGTTCTTGCAAAAAGAACAGCTGTACATTGACGTGGAACACTATACTTTAATCCATTTTTGTTTTGGGTGTCTGTTTCTTTACTGAAGGTTCTTCTGCCAGTGCTGCTAATGATGTCGAAGTAATCTGTTTCGCTCCAGCCTTTGTCTCAATTGATCAGGTCAACCTCTTCCTACTGCTCAACTTAATCCTGCGTGTTCCACAAAAAAACTTCATCTTAATAGCCTATATCTACTATCCCTGTTTGATCTTTCATTCCACTATTTCTAGACATACAAATGTCTCATTAAGGTACACTCTTCTTCTTCTTCTTCTTAAGGTGCTCATATATTCAGAGATAGGGTTATGAGTTTGTTGGATATTAAAGCTAGCAAAGCAGTATCCATATCTGGTAAAACTATGCAGCAGCGATCACAGAAGGAGGCTAAAAATGTAACCTCATCGTATTGAGTTTGTGCCAAGGCAGGCAAAATTGCTATTGGATACGATAATGACGATCTGTACATTTGGAACATTGCTGAGGTTACAAGTATACATAATTCCACATCTATGGACAGCCACATCCTACCTGTTCAGAGCCTTAACCTAGGAGTTGTACACTGACGTTTAGCAAAACAAATATTTAGCTCTTGCTCAAATGATAGTTTGTACACTGTCCACTGCCATAAATTTCAAGTACCATGTTATATCCAGTCCATGCCTTTCTTGTGTCAAGGCTCACAGTATTTTCTGTTACTACCGTGGTTGGTGGTACCTGTGTTTCCTTATTAAAAGGAAGGTCTAATGGCCTTAACAACACACAACAATTGTTGGATGTTGTTGAACCGTGCGTCACGAGTGAGATGAATGACTCTCTATTGGCCGAATTCAGTGAAGAAGTTGTAGCTGCACTGAATTCCATTGGGGATTTGAAGGCCCCTGGGCCTGATGGTATGCCATCTGCTTTCTATAAAAACTTTTGGGATGTGGTTGGAAGGAAAGTAACTTCGGAGGTGCTGCAAATTCTAAATGAAGGTGCACCAATCCCTGCTGAATGGAATCAAACGGTAATGTCACTCATTCCGAAAGTTAAGACTCCAGAAAGTGTTTCTGAGCTTCGCCCTATTAGCCTCTGCAATGTGCTTTATAAGATAGTAGCAAAGATCCTCGCAAACAGGCTGAAGGAAATTTTACCAAACATTATATCACGGTATCACCTACTCAAAGTGCCTTTGTACCTGGGAGACTTATATCAGATAATATTCTCATTGCTTATGAAATGACTCACTACCTGTTCAATAAGAGAAGGGGCGAGACTAGTTATGCACCAATTAAGTTAGATATGAGCAAAGCCTATGATAGGGTTGAATGGTCCTTCCTGGAAGATATGATGAGCAAAATGGGTTTCCATAGAAGATGGATTGAGCTAATTCTAAATTGTGTTACTTCAGTAAATTACAGAATTAAGGTGAATGGTGTACTCACAGATGATATGAGCAATGCGTTGGATTTGCGGTCATATAAGAAGGGATCGAGTTCGGAACGATGATATACGTGATAGATTAGGGGTAGCACCAATTGAAGAAAAGCTTATCCAACACCGGTTGAGATGGTTTGGACATGTCCAACGGAGACCTCCAGAGGCACCGGTGCGTAGTGGAATCCTAAGTCAGGATAGTAACGTGAAGAGAGGCAGAGGAAGACCGAAGTTGACTTGGGTAGAGGCAATAAAAGGAGACTTGAAAGGATGGAATATACCCAAAGACTTAGCCTTAGATAGGAGTGCTTGGAAAATAGCTATTCAAGTGCCTTAACCTTGATTGCTTCTGCTGGGTTTCAACTCTAGCCTATCCCAACTTGTTTGGGACTTAAAGGCTTTGTTGTTGTTGTTAGTGTACTCACAGAGAGCTTCAGTCCAGAACAGGGGCTAAGACAGGGGGATCCACTCTCTCCCTATCTCTTTTTGATTTGTGCTGAAGGTTTTTCTGCTTTATTGAATCACGCTGAACGTGAAGGAAAAATTGCCGGGGTTAAAATCTGCCATGGTGCTCCTAGTATTTCTCACTTACTCTTTGCCGATGACTCTTTGATTCTCCTTCGTGCAAGGAAGGAGGATGCTATGCATTTACACAGTATTTTAGATTTGTATGAGCATTGTTCTGGGCAGGTCATTAATAAAGGCAAATCAGCAGTTTTGTTCAGTGTGAATGCAAGGGGCACAGACCGAGAAGAGGTGAAACAAGAGCTGCATATTGTAAAAGAAACTATGAACGAGAAATATCTTGGGCTACCGGTGCATGTTGGAAGATCCAAAGGAGGAGCTTTTGCCTATTTGAAAGACCAGGTGTGGCAACGCATACAGGGGTGGAAGGAAAGAATGTTGTCTTGGGAGGGAAAGGAAGTCTTGATTAAAGCAGTAGCCCAAGCTATCCCGACTTTCGCAATGGGATGTTTCGAAATTACAAAGGGCTTGTGTGATCAAATAAGCAGTATGATATGCAGATTTTGGTGGAATCAACAGGAGGGCAAACACAAGATTCATTGGCTTAGTTGGGAGAAAATGATCAAACCAAAGAAGGATGGTGGCCTGGGTTTCAGAGATATTTATTCTTTCAATTTGGCTATGCTTGCCAAACAAGGATGGCGGCATCTGCAGTCTCCCAACTCTCTTTGTGCTAAAATTTTGAAAGCCAAGTATTTCCCAAATTATAGCTGTTTGCAGGCTCATCCAAAAGAAGGAATCTCCTATACATGAAGGAGTATATTTAAAGGCCTTGATGTTCTAAAAGAAGGGATAATTTGGAGAATTGGTGATGGAGAAGTGGTAGACATTTGGAATGACCCATGGCTTCCAACTGATCATACCCGGCGACCGGTAACACCGAGGGGCAGGAACCTTATTCGCCGGGTTGCTGAACTCATTAATCCTATCTCTGAAGATTGGGATACCCAGCTGGTCTTGGATACTTTCAGAGAAGAAGATGCAAAAGTAATTTTGGCCTTGCCGTTGAATATTTCGACAGGGGAGGCCCTTGCCTGGCACTATGACCATAAAGGGGTCTTCTGGGTTAGGAGTGCCTACAAGATATATTGATGGAACTTACTGTCCAACCAACAACGCAACGGAGGAATGGCAAGCTCGAGCTCAACAAACCAGCAGGAAGATCTGTGGAAGAAGATATGGAGCATGGATGTTCCGAATAAAATCAAACACTTTTTGTGGAGAGCTACAAAATAGCCACCCTCTAAGGTCTAATCTGGAGCATCGAGGAATGGATATCATTAATAGATGTGTTGTCTGCAATTGTGTAGGGCGAAGATGGTGGGCACCTCTTTTTCAAATGTGATATGGTGAAAGAACTATGGGCTAGGCTGGGGCTGCAAGGCCATAGAGAGCAGCTGGCAGTCATAGAGTCGGCAAGAGAGGCCATCAGGTATGTTACAAACCTGAAAAGGGAGGAGCAGCTGAAAATGGTAATCGGCTTATGGTCATGGTGGTCAGAGAGAAATAGGATTAGGGAGGAAGGACAGAGAAGGCCCGTTCATCTTATTGTAAAGGATGTGGAAGTTTATGCGGGAGAAATCTTGCAGTTTCTGACCAAAGAACATAGAAGCCAAATTGTGAGACAACAGAAATGGAGGAAGCCTAGTCCGGAGGTGCTCAAGCTCAATACTGATGCATCTTTTTGAAAGGAGAGTGGTGATGGTGGCTGGGGCTATATTATTAGAAACAGTGATGGTGATACTGTCATTGCTGGAAGGGGAAGATTACCACATCTCCTAGATCCTTTCCAAGCTGAGCTAATTGCATGTCTGCAAGGGATTCAAGCTGCCATAGATATTGGTATTACAAAAATTATTGTTGAAACTGATGCTGTGATGGTGAAATTTGCGGTGGAAGCGAAGGATTGGGGCTTATCGGTGCCGGGTAGAATAATCCAAGAGATCCAGGAACTTGCTAGTTTAAACTTTGTGTCTTGTATTTTTTTCTGCAGTTCCTAGGGAGTGTAACAAGGCTGCCCATGTATTAGCAGCTTTGGGGTGTGTGTGAAGAAGGGGACGTTCCATTCTTGGACCCTATTCTTGACTGTATTCGGTCGATTGTAACTGCTGAGAGTGCAGTACATGAGTAATGGAATGCATTTCCATTTCAAAAAAAAAAAAATTACTAATCCCTCTGCCAACAAATATAAAGGAAACAAATCGAGGGGGTCCCGGAAGCCCCTCAACTAGAACGGGGACTCCAGTGGCTTCCCCCGTCCATGTAGAAGAAGTGAAGCAAGAAGGACACCAGAAATGCAGGGACATAATTGGAATTCAAGATGAATCACGGTAAACACTTGTAGATCTTTCAGCTACACCATATGACCTAAAGTTAGAATAACTATTCGTTCTGGTATCACCCCTCTAAGCACCTCTTAATGATCCTAATTACCTAAAAAGAGAAAAGACTGGGACCGTCAACCTCAACTGTAGCAGGGGTAATGTGCCCAAGAGCTCCTATCCTAGGCAATTTGTCCACAAATATAAAGAATTTTGGATAATTTGCCATTTAATATTATTAACTTGCCGCAAATCTTAACCTGCTATTTAATCTATTATTAGGTTACTCCCTCTGTCCCAAAAAACTTGATCCTGCAGGATGTTTGTTTACATGTGGAGTTCTGTTCTAATAGCAATGTTGTAAATTCGTTGTCAGTGTAGACCTCTTAGATGCTTGGTTCAGTTAATAGGATATCGGTTCTTTCTATTATATGGTGGTTCATTGTTTTTCCATGTAAGTCGGTGTTCACAGTTCCAGCTCAATTGGTCCAGCTCTCGCAACCCTTGTCTGGTTCAAGTCTCCGAGTTGGATGTACAAAATTTTTGCATTGTTGCCAATGTGAGGTGGTAATCCATGTAGCTAACATCTATTTGAATCCTGTTTTCCAAGCAGCGATCCATCCTGATGCTGCTCTTCGTGAACTACCTTGGACACTGAAACTGTGAGCTCGTCACCAACCTGCTCTTAGCCATGGGAGTAAGTTGTTGTTCCTGTTGTTTGCACAGATGCGTCGAGGTCATCATTAATGTTCAGCTTTGCGTTCAGGTTGTCATGGATAGATGTTACAAGTTGTCGATGCTTTGGTGAAGAGGCTCCTACATCGTACATGCAAGTGGATGCCGCCAGGTCCCAGTGAAGAGGATTAACAACGAGGGTGATCGGATGGTCGTCAACAACAGTAAGTAAAACAACGGCTGAACCTGCTATTTTTTGTTTTTAAAATGCACATGATGCGAATATAGCTTCAGACCCAACTCAAAGATCAAAAGTTTTGCGTGGTGTATCAATATTCCAGCCATTGTTTTCCAGCTAATTTGCATTATAAGATTTCCCAGTCATGATACTTAATTATATGTTTGTGTATGTCCCTTTAGTACTGCATAGAATTATCAAATTGTTCTCTGTTTTCTTATCACTTTTGGGTGCAATTACAGCCTCACAATTCACGTGAAACTTTTGTTGATCCTTGTTTGATTAAAAATGGAATGTTACCATGTAAAATTAGACTTTATTAAATTCAGCCTAATTCTGAGCTTAAAAGGACAGCGTAGTTCTGATGACCTCTACTGTTCTCTACCTGTGCAGAGAGATTTCGAGGAAGATTGTTCAGTGGAGATGGACCTGACCATGGCAGGAGTAAGTGGTACCTGTGGGAAGCAGGATGACTGCTGGGAATCCAAGAGTAGCGGCACCTTTTCTGTCAGTGGTGATTCCCTACCGTTCACTGCAAAACTTGAATATGGCTCCTGTCGTATATTTTTCTGTGGTGGATATTTTTCGAAACATATTTACCGACCAGTACACTTTGTGTAATGAAACAGAAAAGACAGAATATGTAATGGAAATTGAAAGCAAACACGATCTTAGGAGGAGCTGTTGATGTTCCATTTTTTACAGCTTCCTTCTCTAGCCTTGCCGATGCTACAGTGTGCTTCAAGGTTACTTGGTGGTTGCTCTACTTCTGTTACCATGGTTAGAAGATTAGATAGAGCACTGCAATTTGTACAGCCATTCAGGGTTATAGATTTTTTGAATTTTCCTTTCGCCTCTGTTTTCTTAGGTGAGGCTCATTTCCGCTTCCCCATCTCTCTGGACACTATAGTCCCTACACATTGTTTTCTTATCTATCTACTAATTCTTCTTTAATGGCGATTTTACATTGCCTCGATCCATGTCATGCAAGCAAGCTTATTCATTTCTGCTGTCCTGCTGTTAGTGGGGTTTCAGATATTAGGTTACATAGCGCGAGCCAGGGGCGGATCAAAGGGGGGCTGGCGGGGCTACAGCCCCCAAGTAAGCCTGATTTCTTCATTTGACCACGGTTACTTAGCCTCAAATCACCATTAATCTATAGCTCTAGCCCTAAATCTTCATTATTTAGCCCCCCCCCTTTGTTCCCATCCTGCATCCGCCACTGGCACGAGCATATGTAACAGTGATGGTACTAGAGTGTTTTTAAAGCTGAAACATCAGGTTGTGTATCTACAGCTTGGCAAAGAATTTCTCAGGACTCTTCACAATCTTATATGTTAATTCAAACTTACAGACTCCCTTTGTTGGTTTTGAGGTTTTGTTGTTTTCTCTTTTTTCCCCTTTTTTTGATTGCCATATTTCTCATTCGAAGACCTTATGATTTATTACTTGGAATTGTCATTGCCTGCTTTTACCTTCCATATGGTTTCTTGGCCTATGAAGTTACTGAAGATGGTTCGCCTCTATATATGGTGCTAGAGCCTTTCTTTCCTTCAGTGCATATGTTGTCTTCTCACAGCATTGATTTTACGACTGTAATGACTTAGCCCGTATAGGATTATCCCATAGAGGAGTGAGTTATGCTTAAATAAAATGTGTGAACTACAACATGTTCAGATATGGAACATGGTGCGGTCCTGTATGGGTGCACCTGTGCTTTTTTTGTGCCCAGATCTTTTTGGTTAGATTTGGTTCCATATGTGCACATCAGTTGTTTGTGCAAATGACTGATTAGTTAGCCTGCAAAGACGACAACATATCAGATTTTTGTTCCCACCTTGCTTCTTTACTAGGTCAACTATATCGTGTTTCCTGTTCTTGGTGGTACAGTTGGTTGCTCATCCCTTTTGTTAAATTTCCTGGTTAACTACACTATACCTTTCTTGGGAAAACTATGCATCATTTCACTGGATGAATACCAAGATTATTTTGTTGGATAACGTATGATGTTCACTGGATGAATATAACAGTTTCTGCTTTCCCTTTTGGCTTCTACCAACAAGATGTATTTAAGTCATACTATCAATTAAGCGAATTAGAATTTGGATTCATACATGGGATTACTGTTTACTTTTGTGGTTATTGCCCTCTGATCCTGAACACTTAGGCAATTGCTTGATTGAAATTTCCATTTTTTACCATTAACATCCATGTTAAAAATGTCAGTTGTTGTTGATATAAAAAAAATGTCAGTTGTTACCTTTCTCTGATTACTTGGTACTATTTATTTTGGACTATTGCTCTTAGATTAGCTACAAATTCTGGTTTAGTGTGTACAGAGAACTGGCATTTTATATGAAGGTTTATCAGTTGCCTTATTTTCTTTATATAACCTGACACAGCTAATAGATTGGCCTATTTTTCAATTTTTATTTCTATTTTTTTTAGCGTAAAATACAGCAGGGGAGGCCTCCACTGTAGAGATTTATTAGAAAAAAAAGAGGCACTGTACAAAAGGTGGGCTTTGCCGAAGCCGAGACCTGCAAAACTAGGAGAGGGAATCTATACAAAGAAGGAACTCATGACGTTTGTTATCACAAAATCTACAAGCCTGCAATCTGGCCTCTTCACAGAAGAGGCGCTTCCAAGACTCCAGGGAAGTATTAATGAGTCCTTTATCACTCTCATTCCTAAGGTTGATGACCCTTCCAGAGTGACAGATTTTAGGCCAATATCACTTTTGAACACCTCTGTCAAGGCACTTACCAAGATATTGGCAAATAGACTCCAACCCTTCATCACGAGACTTGTCCACAAGAATCAATATGGCTTCATTAAGTCAAGAACAATTCAAGATTGCTTGGCATGGACTTTTGAGTATCTGCATATCTGTCATAAAAGCAAGAAGGAGACGATCATATTAAAACTGGATTTTCAGAAGGCATTTGACAAGATTGAACACAAAGCTATGATTGAGATCATGAGAGCAAAGGGCTTTGGGGAAAGGTGGCTCTCCTGGATGAACTCCATCTTCAGTTCTGGTACATCTTCTGTCTTACTAAATGGAGTGCCTGTAAAGGTATTTCACTGCAGAAGGGGGGTCAGGCAGGGTGACCCCCTTTCTCCCTTGTTATTTGTATTAGCTGCAGATCTCCTCCAGTCAGTTATCAACAGAGCCAAAGAGCTTGGCCTCCTCAGATTATCAATTCCCTTGCAGTGCTCCAGTGATTTTCCAGTTTTGCAATATGCAGATGACACCCTTATTATCATGGAGGGATGTGCTAGACAGCTCTTCTTTTTGAAAGCATTGCTCAGTTCCTTCTCTGAATCCACAGGGCTAAGAGTTAACTTTTAGAAGTCCACGATGGTTCCAATCAATATTTCTCAAGAAAAGCTCAGCCACCTAGCCAGGACTATTTGCTGCTCAACTGGTTCACTGCCTTTCACATATCTTGGGCTGCCTCTGGGTCTGACAAAGCCAAAAGTGGAAGAGTTCTTGCCAATTGTCAGTAGATGTGAAAGGAGATTGGTCAGTACATCAATTTTTCTTTCACAAGCTGGGAGATTACAGCTGACAAACTCTGTCTTTTCTGCTCTTCCAACCTTCTCCATGAGCACCTTTTTCATGCATGTCACTGTCATTGAACAGATAGATAAATATAGGAAGAATTGTCTGTGGAGAGGCTCTGATGAAAGCAATAGAATCAATGCAAAGGCTGCCTGGCCTTTAGTCACAAAGCCAAAACTTGAGGGTGGTCTGGGAGTTCTAGATTTGAAGACACAGAATGAGGCTTTGCTGATTAAGAACTTGCACAAGTTCTTCAACAAAATTGACATTCCTTGGGTACAGTTGATATGGGAAAGATATTATAGTAATGGCAGACTCCCTAACCATACCAAAAAAGGATCCTGTTGGTGGAGAGATGTTCTCAAACTCTTGGACAAATTTAAGGGTATGGCCATAGTCTATATTCAATCTGGTGCCTCATGTTTATTCTGGGATGATCTTTGGCTGGGTCAAGTACCAAAACATGCCTTCCCTGAACTCTATTCTTTTGCCAAAAACCCAAATATGACAGTTGAAGCTACCAAAGCCAGTCAGTCCTTAATTCAGAACTTTCATCTGCCATTATCAACTGAGGCTTACCAGCAGTTCATTCAGCTTGAGGAGATAGTGAACAACTTTCAGCCATCAGGAATCAGTGATACCTGGTCTTACATCTGGGGCAGCCAAATTTTTTCATGTGCAAAAGCCTATAAGCAGCTCTCGGGTTCAGCATCAGTACACCCAGTCTTCAGTTGGATCTGGAAATCCTCTTGCCAACACAAACATAAAGTCTTCTTCTGGCTTTTGGCACAAGATAGGCTTAGCACAAGGAACATTCTAAGAAGGAAGAGCATGTTCCTGCAATCTTATAACTGTGTTTTGTGTGACAATGCAGTTGAAGAGACAGTTGATCATTTGTTTCTACATTGTGATCTGGCAAGAGAGTGTTGGAACTTGATTGGCTTGACAGTACCCCAATCTCAGGGGCCTTTCCAGATATTGGAGGATTTCAAAGGCCAACTCAATGTTCCCTTTTTCATGGAAATTATTATCCTTATGTGTTGGAGCATCTGGTCAGTGAGAAATAACCTAATTTTCAGAGGAGAAGAGGCAACTTCACAGCAATACAAGCATATCTTCAGAAATGTCTTTGGCCTAGTTATACTTCGCGCAAAGAAAAAGTACCTACCCCAGATTAGCTCATGGCTAGAGCAGATTGTGTAATCCTGTTTATTTTCTGTCTCCTTTTTTGTTTCTTGAGCTTTTCTGCCCTCCGCAGCTTGTATTTTGTGGCTCCTGAACATTCTGTTTTGTTTGTTTTTTGCTAATAAATTTCAGTAGGGGCGCAAGCCCCTCCTGTTCGTTCAAAAAAAAAAAATTTGTATCCTAAATCCATTCGTGGCTGCCGGTGATGAGCCGGCGAACCAAGCGTCAGATGGCTCCGCCACCAGATCAGGACAGACCTGCTCCTACTGCTCCTGCATATCAGACCGGATCTGCTCCTGCTCCTACGCTTCATTCATCTGCTCATATTCCTGCGCTTCTTTGTGGTGGTGCTACTGTTCCTACTCCAGGAGGCCAATCAGATAATCCACTTGGAGATTTATTTCTTTATACAAGATTACTTGTAGATCCATGTTAGCTGTGCAAAATCTGTTCACGCTTCCTCCTATGTACCTTTGCAAAATCCCCATGGTCTAGCCCTACATGGCTTATGTTGCCCTCTTGTTTTTTTTTCCTCGATAATTTTTTTTCTCTCAACTGATGGTATGATGCCATGACTGCTCTACAGCATGGTGGTCTGGACCTTTACCACAAGCCACATCGTTAGGGGTCACATCCCCAAATTGGTAAGTCTCATTTTGTTGTACTTGGAGCCTGAATGATTGTTCCAAGTTTTAACAGTAGCCAATATGTTTTGTGTGCTTTACTGCTAGAAATAGTTAGTTTAGTAGTTGTATTAGTTCCAGTAGAAGTAACACTGATGTTTTGTGGGTTGCTTGATTTTTCAGTGGTATGGATTACTATCCACCTGGCGGTATGAGCTTTTTCCAAACTGGACAGCAACCATTCATTCCTCATGTTTCGGCACCATTGACCACCTATGGGAAAGGAGTCTCAATTAGCACCACAAAGTAGTGACTCAGGAAACCAAAATGCTAAAAAAAGATCGAAAGGCAAAACTATCAACTTAGATGATGGAAACAATGTCAGGACAGGACTGCAAAGCAATAGTATTTGATAAAGAGGAGGACAAGAGGCTAGTAAGTAAAATTTTATCACTAACTTTTGCACTGATCGCTGGCTTTTTTTTTGTACCTTCACAAATATATGAACTTACAACTAATCATGTATGCTAAATTCAGGTCAGTGCATGGCTGACTCACTCGAATGACCCAATCAATGGGAAATGCAAGAAAAATGAGAGCTACTGGGGTGATGTACATGAACTATACAATAGCACTACACCTACAAACCGAAGAAGAGGTGATACATCTCAAAGATTGCTGGCAAAAAATTAAGAGATGGGTGGCATTTTTCTGTGCTTGTTGGAAGAAGGCTACCTCAGTTTATCTTAGCGGATATTCAGATGACCAGATAAGAGACATGGCTAAGCAGTTTTATTTGGATGACTATCCTAAGGAAGGCACATTCACAGTTTTACACTGCTGGAAGGTTCTTCGTGATGAACCCAAGTGGCATGTAGTCTTGGAAGAACTTGAAAAACCAAATAAAAGGAGTTTGGATGGTGAAGATGAGGCAATTGACATCTCAGGGACGCCAAAAGGTGTAGGAGAAAAGGAACGTCCTGTAGGGACAAAACAAGCTAAGAAACAACGTGCAATGGTAAAGGTAGAGTCAACGATGTTAATGCCGGTTTAGATGAAGACTTGATTAAATTCTTTGACATTCAAGCTGCAGCAAAAAAACGACAGGAATACTTCTTAGAGGCCCAGGAACGCAATTCTGATAGGAAGGTTGAAACAGTAAGGCTTAGGAGGGAGGCTGCTTTACTGGAATGAGTATGGACACTAGGAAGATGACAGAGGATATTAGGGCTGAGCATGTGATTGGCCTGAAGATTCTAAGGGACAAATTAGCTGGCAACAGTAACTAAGGTAGTTTGTTTTTTTTGTTGACTGCTATTTTTGCTTACATTCAATCAACATGTAGTATAAATGCATTGGGAATTATATTGAGTAAGCTGACTTACCATTTGTTTCCTTTTTTTTCGGAATCGTTGATATGAGGTTGATTGGCATTTCTAGCATGCTCTGACGGAGATTGTTGGTTCAGAGATGACTTTTGGCTTTTGGTGCTTCTTCAATGATGCAGCTAGCTGTTCAATTTGCTTTTGTAGCCTGAAATATAATAAACATGTTTGGCTTGTGTCGTGGTTATTAATTAGTTCATCATGTAGTAACTGTTTGGACATTTTTATTTTATTGTTCTGTTCAAAGCGTTGTCCATGTCGTAGTGGCAGTGTATTTGCTATCAGTTTGGTTATCTTTAGTGAGAGGTTTACCTGTGTACCATTATAAAAGATGATCATTATCTACATGTCACTAAAAAGTTTGAGTACACCTAGGTGCCACTGGCTGAAATTTTTTTGTCGCTCGAGCCATTCCGTATCCATTCTATTTGGTTTTCACGGGACCGGGCAGATAAATAGTCCAAAATACCACGGTGGCTGTCTCTCTCGCAACCCCGTCTCTCTCCGTGGCCCTTTCTGGAGGCGGCGGCAGTGGCGTGGACGAGGTCAGGAACGCGACCGCTGCCCGACACATCAAGCTGGGCCTCGACCGTGGCCCACTGCACGCGCGCCCGACGTCCACGCTCTCGGGTTGGCCGGGCGGCATGGAGCTCGCGTACGTGCGAAGATAGCTCCATGGTCAGCAGAACCTCCACTGCACCCTGCTGAGGAACACCGTGAGGCTAAACACCATCATGCACCCTGGCTGAGGAAAACCGCGTACGTAAGCGTGTTGAACGCCTGCAGCCGCGCCGGGCTGCTCGATGAGGACGGGCTGCGGTGCTTCGACCGCATGTGGTTGGAGCACAAGGTCACACCCAACGCGCAACACCCAACGACTGCATGGTGGACCTGATGGCCCGCGTTGAAGGCTGGACGGACGCACGTGCTCTCATCGGGAGCATGTTGAGGCAGTCGCGCTGTGGCGAGGCCGTGCTCGACCTCGACGGCAGGAGGGTGAGCGCGCCCTAGAGCGCCAGCTCTTCCTGCTCGGATAGGTCCCGCGGCGTGGGCGCGTGGAAGATGATGACCATTCATGCCGCACGTACACAGGCTTCACGCTTGGTTGTCACCGAGCTCGATCAGTTCACGCAGCTAGCGAAGCCATCAAGACGTATGTACAGTGCCGCTATTCACTAGCCATTCTGCCTAGCCCAAGCGACATAGGAGCCGAGGTGCACTGAGCGACTCCGACGTACTCAACAACCGCTGCTGGTCATGGACGTCCAACCCGGGGCCCAAGTACCCGCTGTCACTGGCGCACGTGCGCGTGCTCCTCTGCGTACTGGACGAGCTGCCGCACCTCACGCTGGCTCAGGCCACGCTAGCCCGCGCCGCCGTCGACGCTGAAGGTCTGCTGGACGGCTTCCTCGTCCTGGCTGACGCCTTCGGCACGTTCCTCGCGGTCCTGGTCACGCTTCGGCAGCACGCGTGGAGCTCCACGCCGCCGTGCGCAGGCACTACACCGCCAAGCTGGCCTCGGCTGCGCGTGCAGAGGTACGACGGGAGGGGCCTCGAGCAGCTCACCGCCGCCTTGGCGCACGAGGGAGCTAGGCAGGCGCGCGCGGCGTGCCCACAGACGCCGAGGTCGCGATCGCGAGGACCATCGCTGAGGCCGTCAACGACACCGCTGCGGATTCCTCGACGGCGCCCACTGCTGCTGGTGGGGAGGGTGGTGGACATGGTTGGGCGGTCGTACTCGCCGTGTGCATCCTCCCGTCATCGTCACAGTGGGCGTCGCCAAGACAGCGTTCATCGTCGCCAAGATGACGCATGGGCACGACGGCCCTTGGTGAGGTGGAGCTCGGCGATGCCGAGTGGCTAGAGCACAAGAGTCTAGCGTCGAAGGACGAGGAGTGGCACAGAAGGAAATTGAACAAAATTAGAAATCCAACTGAATTGGGGGGCAAAATGGTCATTTCATCCACCTATTTGACACTGTCACCCGCGAAAATAGACCGAATGGCTTGTGTGACAAAAAAAAGTTCCGGTCAGTGACACCTAGATGCGCTCCAACTTTTTAGAGATTCATCGGTAACGACCATCTTTTATAATGGTACATAGGTGCGCGGGGGGTAGGCGAGTGGTGTGGGACGTGCTGCCGGATTTTTGGTTCGCTCGTATTGTTTCTGAATTGAATCGTTACGCTGATTTGGTCGGGATTGGATGGTTCTATTACGACAATCGAACGCCCCGAGGTGCGTTCGGATGCACGCTCGTGCCGGATGTCCGGACGCTAGATAACCGCAGGAGCAATGTAAGCTGTGCACATGCCGTGGAAGACAAAGAACCTGGTTCCCTAAAGTCGTGAACCTGAAAGTTGTGAAGTCAGCTACTCCCAAGGTGGATCTAGGCCATGGCAAGAGGCAAAGGAGAGTTGTCAATTACATTTATACGTTTGAGAACTCAGATAGCGATGATACGTATACTCCACAGGGTTCCTCGAATAGTTCTTCAGACACGATTCTGATAAGGACAACTATGAGGCCAACAGTGTGATTTCAGCACCTGAGGTACCAACGCAATACCAGCACTTGAAGTACCAACGCAATCAGAGCATACTACAGAACCCTACGTATATCTATTGTCTTCCATGTACAAACCAACGCTTGTAATATGCACATCTTCAACATATTTCTAGCTACATTATTACTTATATTGTAGTCTACGTATCCAACACATTTTCTCATCTTCAAAATCTTTCCATCACTAGTTAGGTGTAGAGAGCAAAACAAGACACCCGTAATCCAAGTCAAAAAAAAAATACTAATGCTCATGGACTCGTATACAGCACGGCCCATCAGAGGGATGCATACAAGCAGCAGCGCCGATAGATACACTCGTGATACGATCACCGGCGATCGCCCTCGCTACCGCGTGCATCCAGATCCTTCCTCGGGTGACCTCACGTGGACCCCACCCTGTTCCGTGCTGTGCAAGCGGCGGTTGGGACTTGGGAATGTTGTTTGCTGGAGCAGAGGAATGAACGCCCCCGTGGACGTGGGTCCGGTCGCCTGCTGCCGTGGATGCGCAGCGCAGCGCACCACGCCCGCCCCGTCTATAAAATCCTAGCTCATCCCCTTCCTCCAGCAGCCAGTAGCCGCGCCGATCACGAATTCAAATCAAACCAACACAACTGACTCGCCCCCCTCCCACCCCAAGCGCCCCCAACCAGTCCAGCGCCTCGCCGCCAGCCATGGCGTCGTCGGCGCCAGATGTGGCGGAGTCGTCGCGTGCCGGCCAGGAAGCGGAGCAGGAGCCCGAGTCGGAGCCGCAGCGCAAGTGGGTGGCGCTCGTCTCCGTCTCCGTCGCCGTCCTCCTCGGCAACGACGACGAGCGGGCCAAGGAGATCGCCGTCGGCACCGACATGCTGCTCGACCTCAACGACCCGCCGCTGCCCTCCTACCTGCAAGTGCTGCACCCCCGCGTCGCCCCCGACCCCAGGCGCAACGATGAGCCGCTGTACGCCTACATCCTCGCCGCCGACCGCTCCCGCCTGCATCCTCCTCCAGGTCGTCAAAGGCAACCGGCCGGACTTCCTCCTCTGCGACACCCACAGACGTACCGTGACCTTCCTCCCACTGTCCTCCGGACTCAACATCCGCCCCCACCTCAGCATCGGCCTCATCGCCGACCCGCACCACCACGGCCACTACGTGGTCGCCCAGCTCCACCCCACCACGTCCGAAGATCACCCCAACAGGATCCGGATTGGTCTCGTGTGCTACTCCACCGCCGAAGGCCGGTGGTTCACCAGACAGCTCACCCGGGCGCGGCAACAGGTCCGCATGCGCATCCCCCTCTCCGAGACCGGTGTGCTCGCCCACGACGGCCGCCTCTGGTGGCTCGCCCTCGCCTATGGCGTGTTCTTCTGCGACCCCTGCACACCCCTCGCCGAGAGCCCCGAGCTGCGCTTCCTCCCTCTCCCGGCCGCCTGCGAGACGATGGAGAATACCGCCGCCGCCTTCGACCCCCGCATCAGGACCCTCATCGACCAGCGCCGCTGCGTCAGGCCCAGCGAGGGCAAGCTGCGCTTCGTCGAGATCCGCGGCCTCTCCTACGACGAGCTCGTCGACGTACCCGCGGCTAACCCCACCGTCCGGATGTGGACGCTCGACGACCCGGAGGGCCCCGACGCATGGACGTTCGAGTACGAGGTGGCCTTCGCCGAAATCTGGGAGAACAAGACCTACACCGACGCGGGCCTGCTGCCGGACGAGGTGCCCCACGTCGCCCTCATCGACCCCAACGACCACTACGTCGTCTACTTCTTCCAGGGCTCGAAGCTCTTCGGCTTGGACATGCGCGAGAAGAATGTCGTCGCCTGCAAGGAATGCCTGATAGACCGTGATCCAAGGTTTTTTTTATCGACCGAAATTCACGGAAATTTCCGAAATTTCCTTTCTATCCACAGGGTCCGATAAAATTTGACATCGGCTAAATTTTTCCCTTCTTTCCTGCTTCCACACAGACAACCCAAATTCAGCCGTGCGACAATCCCACACTATAATGTTTTATTCTTGTTTTTATCTGTGAACAAGTAATGTTTAATAGCTTAGGAATAGTTTCAAGTCAAATTCTACGGAATTTTTTCAAAATAATTTGATTTTTTTTGAATTTGGTCCGATATTTCCGATATATCTTGCTTATCCTATTTATCCATGACCTCCGATAAATTTTTATTTTCGATAATGAAAACCTTGCTCACAGCTGCGAGAGAGGCGTTTGCATCCCAGATGAGGGTAGATCAGGGCAGCAGCTGCAGGCACATCCTCAAGGGCATCGCAGGGAGTGTGGACCCTGGTGAGATCCTAGCGCTGATGGGCCCATCTGGCAGCGGCAAGACCACCTTGCTCAAGATCCTGGGAGGCAGGCTCGATGGCGGAATCAAGGGCCAGATAACCTACAACGACACTCCCTACAGCCCCTGCCTCAAAAGGAGGTAAATTAAAACTGTAACAAGCAAGAATTTTCACTCGACTTAATAACGGGTTAGTAAAGAAACGAACTAGATTCAGTGACGTTTCTTTGTGTTATTAATCTGTGCGCCGGCTGCAGGATTGGATTTGTGACTCAGGACGACGTCCTCTTCCCACAGCTGACGGTGGAGGAGACCCTGGTGTTCGCCGCCTTCTTGAGGCTCCCTGCTTGCATGTCCAAGCAGCAGAAGCGCGACAGGGTCGACGCCATCATCACCGAGCTGAATCTAGAGAGGTGGAATTTGAATTTCCATGGGGAGTTTAGTTTTCATTCACATGTATGCATGGCGATCGAATGAGTTGCGATGCGATTCTCAATTGATTGCATGGTCAGGTGCCGGCACACCAAGATCGGCGGAGCGTTCGTGAGGCGGGTGTCAGGAGGCGAGAGGAAGAGGACCAGCATCGGGAACGAGATCCTCGTCGACCCGTCGCTGCTCCTCCTCGACGAGCCCACCTCCGGCCTCGACTCCACGTCGGCGAGCAAGCTCATCCTCGTCCTCCAGCGCCTCGCCAAGGTAGCAGCTATATAGTACGCCACATACATTTGCGCGCAGCAACGCCACCGACGACGACGACGACGATCATGTTGTTAATTAATTTGATCGATCCTGGATGGTTATGTTGCAGACGCGCAGGACGATCATCACGACGATCCACCAGCCGTCGAGCCGGATGTTCTACATGTTCGACAAGCTGCTGCTCATCTCCGACGGGCACGCCATCTACCACGGCAAGGCCCGGGACTGCATGCACCACTTCTCCTCGCTGGGCTTCGTTCCGGAGATCCCCATGAACCCGGCCGAGTTCCTGCTGGACCTCGCCACCGGCAACCTCGACGACATCAGCGTCCCCGAGGCGCTGCGCGGCTCGCCGGACCCGCAGGAGTTTAGGTCCCAGGTCATCAGGCACCTGCAGCTCAAGCACCGGGCGGGGCGCGGCGCCGGCGCTGGTGGGAGAAGCAGGGCGCTGCCCACGGAGCAGCTGCGGCTGGCGGTTGGGGCGCGTAAGGACCGCCGCCGCAGCATCGGCTGGTTCCAGCAGTTCGCCGTGCTGTCCCGGCGCACGTTCCGAGAGCGCGCCTCCGACTACCAGGACAAGATGCGGCTCGCCCAGGCCGTCGGCGTGGCGCTCCTGCTGGGCCTCCTCTGGTGGAAGTCCCAGACCGGGACCGAGGCCCAGCTGCGAGACCAGGTCGGGCCATGGTTTACTTTTTCGGCCGAAATCTCCTGATATTTCCGATATATCCTTTTTTTCCGTAGGTGCCGATAAGAAAATATCTATTTTTTCGTACAAATTTTGTTTAAATTTATTTAAATTTACTTAAATTCATTTAAATTCAAATTAAATTTTATTTGAATTTGGTCCGATATTTCCGATATATCCTGTTTATCCTCTTTATCTGTGACCCCCGATAAATTTTAATTTCCGAAAATGAAAACCTTGCCGTGATCAACTCAGGTTCCCATCCTCCCGCCCCATTGTCGATGCCTGGGAGCTACCGCCACCGCCAGCCACGCTTCAAGGAGACGATGACTCTTCGTCAGATGGTATGCACGCGTACATCCCCACTAGTTGCTCAGTTCTGAGGCATCCACTTGCCTTACCTATGGTTACAATCGATCGATTGCAGCATGCATATGGCTGCTGGAAATCTTGATTTGATGCTCACTGTGTGTCTGCATGCTCGGCATTCAACTGTAAATTGTGCGTGATCATACTCATACCTAGGCTGGTTAGGTCGTTGCCAACATTCATATTGGCCTATGTGCATGCTAGTTACAGTAGTATCTGAACTGATTGATTTTCAGTTTTAGTTGGCATGCTTACTGTCTTTGTCCAGATTGCAAGGGATCCTCGTGACATGTGTGCGCTTCTCCGATTCATGCCTTTGTCTTATCATTGAGAAATATGTTCATAACTTTCGTAGATGAACTACTCTATTATGTACGCAAGGATTACAACTGCACGCGTGTATAGATGATAGAATAGAGTCACTGAATTAGTCTGAATTTAGCATGTATAGAACACTGCTTCTGTTTGGCATCGGTTCTTTATATATTCCTCTTGCGAAAAAGATTTGATTCATGAATCATGACTATAACTTCCGAGAGTATTCTGTTTTGGAATGCTGATTGTTGATTGCTTGCTTGACCATTAATTGCTGCTATTTTGCATGATCTTTAGCATTTTGGTTTGGAATGCTCATTTAGAATAGAATCACTTAAATAGTCTGAATCTGGCATGAAGAGAACACTGCTTCTGTTTGGCATTAGTCACTATGTATTCCTCTTGCTCATATTTGATTCATGAATCATGACTATGACTTCCACTAGCATTTGGATTTGGAATGATGATTGCTTGCTGACCCTTAAGTATTGCTGCTCTTTTGCATGCATGCAGATAATGTTTTGGGCTCGAAGCTTGATGCCAGGGAACTGCCCCCACCGCCACCCACTCTTCCGGGCGAGAACAACTCTACACCAGATGGTATGCGCATGCACATCCCCATTAGTTGCTCAGTTCTGATGCATCCACTTGCCTTGCCTACGGTTACTGAATCGATCGAATGCAGCATGCATGGCTGCTGGAAATCTCGACTTGATGCTCTCTGTGTGTCTGCATGCTCGGCATTCAATTGTAAATTGTGCGAGATCATACCTAGGCTGGCTAGGTCGTTGCCAACATTCATATCGGCCTATGTGCATGCTAGTAACAGTAGTAATATTTGAACTGCTTTGTGCCGAATTGATGGATATGATCGCATTTCCAGTTTCAGTTGGCATGCTTACTGTCTTACTGTCTGACCAGATTACAAGGGATCCTTGTGACATGTGCACGCTTCTCTGATTCATTGCCTTTGTCTTACTATTGACAAATATGTTCATTACTTCCGTATATGTACTGCTCTGTTATGTACACTTAGATTACAACTGCACAACGTCTATAGATGATAGGATAGAGTCACTGAATTAGTCTGAATTTGGCATGTACAGAACACTGCTTCTATTTTTTTTTATGAAAAGAGGAGGGGTGGGGTTCCCCTACTGTGCTTTATTAAAAATTCGTTCTGCCTTTCTCGTCGCAGATGGCCGACTGTTGAGATTTGCATTACTGATGATGCCAGATATGAGTTCACGTGGAAGAACGGAGAATACAAGTTATGCCTCCTGATCTGGTAATGCGGCAACCAAACAATCTGGACCTGCAGCTCCGTTGTATAGATGAGCATGTAGCTCGTGGCCCGGCTTGGCCTGAAGCACGGTTTTTTGGTCCAGCCCAAGCACGGCACGGGCCGGTGCTGTGTGGGCCTGGGCCGGCATAGCCCGATGCACAGGGCCATGCCTGGGCCATACCTAGGCACGCGGGCTAGCACGGCACAGCCCGCAATTTAGTGGGAGGCCTGGAGCCTGGCATGGCCTGTTAAGAATACCAAACACCCCAACCCAATACACTCTATTTCTAACCCTAACTTCCGCCGGCACCCCTCCCGCCCAACCATGCGGCCACGCCGCACTCGCAACGCGCAGGTGAGTCAAGGATGGGCGCACGCACCCCACTCGCCTCCCTTTCCCCACGTCTCCCTCCGCTCGCCATTCGCCTCCTCCACGCGGCTGGCGGTCCCATCTGCGTCGCCGCCCAAGGGATGCCAAAGAGCAGCAGCCTCCTCCATGCGGGCAGTGGCCCTCTCGCGACTCCTCGCCTCCTCGCTCCCTGCACCACTGGCCGCCTCTAGCATGGCGGCCGGCCTCGAGTGGCACCTTTGGATCCAGCGTCTAGTGCAGCGGCGGCCTTCCTCCACGCCAGCCTCCCCTCCCCTTCCCTCTCCGTGTCGGCATTTAGTGGGTCTCGGGGCAGCATGACCTACTAAAATAGCCGTGCTCATCGGGCCAGCCTGGCTTGAAGAACAGCCCAGAGAGCCGTGCTTAGGCCGAAGGCCAGGCCCACGACCCTGAGAGGCACGGCCCGGGAGGAACGACATGCCGTGCCGGCCCGACCCCCATCGGGTCGTGCTGGCTCGTTGCCCATCTATGCTCTGGTGCCGCCGTTAGCTAGATGGCAACCATTTCCCGAGCTAAGGAGCTCTCTCCCCGACGTTGATATACTAGTCCCCCTGGGCCGTTGGGCATTAGTACAGCACTACAGCTGCGCACATCCCAGCGTCCGGACAACGCATGGGCTTGTTGGCGTGGGCAACTTCGGCTCGACACGACAGGTGGGCTTTGGAGCTCGCGAGGCACCTCGGCGCGTTGCACAAACGCTTGAACTACTTCAGCAGTACTTTTCAGCAAACGAACAATGCTTTCCTCACAAGAAATCAGCATAAGCATCAACTAAGCCAAATTTCAGCGAAACGAAGGGGGCGTGGCTGTCGTGTTGCTATCTTTTCCGGGCCAGCCGGCTGGCATTATCGACCGCGGTGAGGCTACAGTGCGCTATCTTTTTTTCTTTTTTTGAAAAATACAGTGCGCTACCTTATCCCGTTATCACGTCAATCAGATTCCTGCCCATGAAAACGAGCACGCGACGTTCAAAACCACAACAGCGGCAATGCTGTGTAAAATGTCCTAATTTGCCCCATCGTCTTATTATCTAGGAGCAGTCTGCAGTCCTATTTCGGTACCCAACAATTGTATATTCAAAACAATTCATACTTATGAATTGTATTAAGTTCTCTTTAGATCTCAATGAGTTTTAAAAATCTAATAGAAAACTACAAAATTCCATAATCCAATATGTACAAGTAAGATTCTGAGGCATTCTAACACAGATTTTTATAATTCTAAAATCCAATACAATATAGATATGAAATACTCTCTTCGTCCCAAAATAAGTGTTGCTATGGTTTTGGTTTCAGTCAAACTTTCTTAAGTTTGACTAGGTTTGTAGAAACTATTAGCAACATCTGTATCTTCAAATAAGTTTATTATGAAAATAGATTCAACGATCAATCTAATGATACTAATTGTGTATTATAAATATTAACATTTTCTCATATATATGTTTGGTCAAAGTTAAAATTATTTGACTTCTCAGGAAGCGAAAACGACATTTGTTTTGGGACGGAGGGAACACGGGAGACTTACTGCCGTATTGAATTCTAATAACCTTGAACCAATGCAGTGTAAAACTTTTCTCAAAACTAATCAGCACATAGAAGCATAGCTCGTGAGGGCAGTCCCAACACGTAAACTGCTATCTCGTTTCCATACGTCTTCCACGTCAATTAGAAACTTTCGCAAAAACTTAGGGCCTGTTTGGCAAGGGCTTCTCCTCGGATCCGGCTCCGGCTCATCCGGAGAAGCCCTGCCAAACAGTTTAAATGGAGAAATCATTTTGGGCATTTTTTTAGTGGAAAATAAAGCAGCCGAAGCCGGAGCCGTTTTGAAAGTTGGCTCTGGCTCCTCCGGAGAAGTCTATGGAGAGGAGCCCTCCCAAACACACGCTTACTTAGTATCTAACAACACATCGTTTCATAGCCGTGGGCCCGTAATAAATTTCTATCAATTTCTCTGTCCCGTGCTCTTCTCTCTCGCGTTCTCATCTCCAACAAAACAAGATCTCTCTCTCTTCCGTTCTGATCTCCAACAGCAGCAAAGGCGACCTGTAGGCGTGGGCGCTGGCCATGCCATGGACGACGGCAACAGCAGAGTGTGGTGCACAGCTGCGTGGATGCGGTGGCAAGATCTGGTGAGTTGAGAGATAGATAGCCAATAAACATAGTTCGTTAGCGGCCAACACCAGCGCGTTTCAAGGAGGCGTAGTGGTGGGGTCTGCGCGGCAGGGTGACCTACAATTCAGTGATTTCAATAAGGGCGTCCATAATGGGAGGTAAGAAGGGATAGTAAGAGGTTGCAACGAGTAAGATACATTGTGTAGATAGTAGTAGAACCAGGTAGTAGTGCTACTACCGGGTAAGAGAGAATAAAAATGTCTCTCTCACCGCGTTTCTTTCCTCCCGAGCGCCCCATATCATCCTTCCTCCCGGGCAGACCCAGCCATGTCCGCTCACAGGCTAGGCAACGGCAGTGGCCCCGGCCATGGACATGCGCATGCCGAGTGGTGAAGGAGGCCCCGACCATGGACTTGACAAGGAGTGGTGGCCTAGCTCCCCTGAGAGCAGCTCAAGGAACCGCTGCAGCTCCTCGATGACCTCGCCCCTCGCGGCACAGAGTGGGCGCCGTCCGTGGCGGAGAGAGAAGGACGGGACAAGGAGCCATCGGTGAGGAGAAGGAGCCAATGGTGTAAGGAGTTGGCACATCACGGAGGCGGCAGCAACGGTCGATGCCAAAGATGGAGAAGACTCGCACAAGAGGTTGGATTGGCGATTTTTCTATTATGGGGCCCACCTTACTTTTAGATATATATTGTTCGTGTGAATGGATTACTACTATTGCTTGTTCTTGGGTCCATCTTCTTACCGCCTGTTCCGGATATACATTGGGGACGCCCTAAGAAATGAGAAAGAATGTGGGGAATAGAATCTTACTGTGTGGCCATGTTTGTTGCCTATAGGAGTGCCATGCGAAGTTGCTTGGTGGTGCTTGACACGAGCTGACAACCTGACACATGGTTTTGGAGTTGGGAGTTGGGACTGACGCGACACGCTATGCCTCTCAGCGACCAGCCTCTCTTCTCTCTTTGGTGTTTGATGCGATCTGGCACATAGTTTTGGACACATGCGCTCTGTTCGCTTGAGCTTATCAGCCATAAAACATTATTTTTCTCTCACAATAAATCAGCCATTCAAATCAGCCAGAGCCAAAATAAGTCCTGCCGAACAGAGCTATGGCTGTAGTTAGGGCCGTCACCCTAGATGCACCCACCCCCACCGGATTTGCCTGCCCCATCCACTGGCAAGCACCCTCCTAGCTCATGGAGAGTGAATGTCATCCTCCTCCGTGTAGGTTGCTACTAAGGGCTGCAACGACATCCATCAAAGATGGTTGCCACGTGTGAGGTTGGAGGACACACTATGGAGAGGCAGCATCAGAGGACGGCAGCATAGATCGAGAGGGACAACTAACAACATAGGATGGGGAGGAGGACCTAGGACTCACCTTCATGAATTGGTGGTGTCCTCGTCTGCCTCGATGTCCTCCTGGTGGCGTCCTCGTCTGCCTCGATGTCCTTGTCTAGCCTCCATGGCTCCACCACGCCGGTCGCACGTGCGGCAGGGGGCCAGGCTTGGTGGAGCAGGGGAATAGGGAGGGCGAGGTCTGGGGCCTTAGTCGGGGTGGCGGAAGGATGGTGTTGAGCGCCGCTAGTCAGGAGGGAGGGGGTGATATGACCCTGTAGGGTTTGCTGGGCAATCTTTCGATGAGAGATGGTGGATAGCTCGATTGGTGGATGGAGACGACGTTCACGACCCGACTACAATTGTCCAAAGAAGCTGCGCCTTAGCAACCGATACACCAACTCCAATGGTCGTCGTGATCTTGTGGCACGACAACCAGCCACTAGGGCACCCATCCTGCGAGCAATCAAAGAACTAGCAAGAACATGTAAACAAGCACTGAATCTGCAAGATGAAATTGAAGGTCTCAAACTAAATCTCATTTATAGGGGGTTCCGAAGGCATGTAGACGGGCGGCTTATTTGGCACGCACGTGTACAAGGAAGCAGCAAAGTTGAACTTGCGACTAAACAAAACCTGATCTGTTTGTGGCGACTGTGGTGGTATATGAGAGGGCAGAGAATGACCTAGACATGGTGGGGGTCATCCCACAACCCTAGGACGCACCCCTATTAGACCCCACTTGATACACGGCCCATCGGGCAACAATCAGGCTACGCAATACCATGGACAAAAAAGGTCTTTGTATTAAAT